TACCTTGTTAATGTGGCAGACAAGGCCAGACAGAGTGGTTTACACCTATAATCCTAGCAGTCTGGGAGGTTGAGGCTGGTGAATTGCTTGAGTTCAGGAGTTCAAGACTACCCTGAACAAGAGTGAGATCCCATCTCTACTATAAAAAGAAAAGAAAGAAGGAAGGAAGGAAGGTGGAGAGGGAGGGAGGGAAAGAAGAGAGGGAGGTGAGGAGGGAAGGAGGGAAGGAAGGGAGGGAGGTGGGGAGGATTAATAGGAGGGTACAAACAATTAAGTTACAATGTAGAGGAGGTGGGGAGGGAGGGAGGGAGGGAAAGAAGGAAGGAAGCAAGGAAGGAAGGAAGAAAGGAAGGAAGGAAGGAATTAGCAGAGCATAGTGGAGGTACCTGTAGTCCCAGCTACTTGGAAGGCAGAGGCAAGATGAACTCTTAGGCCCAAGAGTTTGAGGTTGCTGTGAACTAGGACACCAGAGCACTCTCCTTGAAAAACAAAAGAAATAACTAAACATGTTAATGTGGCAGACAGCAAGCTCTTTTCAGAAGTAAGAAACATGTCAGCTCTGCCCTTTTCTTATTAATAAGAAAAAGCTTTAGCCTCAATTTATGGTTTTATAACTGAATTGTTTTTAACCTACTTCAGTTAAAACCACATAGTATAATATGTAAATCCACTTAAGTGGGCACACTGCAGCATGTCCTGATAGTAACAGGGAACTAGCTGTTGTCAGTCCCTTCTGGTAGGAGGAGGCCTGCTTTCTCTTCTCAGTACTTGACAAATGGAGTTTAACTCATGACTGTCCAACATACAAACCAAATAGGAGTGCCAGAGTTAATCTACATATTTGCAAAGTTGATTTGCATTTTTAGATGGGAAATAAGCAAAAATAGAAGGTCTAATATTCCTTCCATGCCTTCTGGAGACTCTGTACCCCACTTTGGAGAGTGCTGATTTCAGTGTAAGTTGGCTGATTCATTACTGTACTGGATGTTGTTTGGTGACTCCCAGAATTCATTTCCTGCTTCTCCTGCCAACATTAGCCTGATTTTCTTTTGGGTGATTTCAAGGGTGGGTCCTCATTGACGAGGCAGCCCAGCCCATACCTCCAAATACAATGATTGGTTTGGGATGTCAAGAAACACAGTTGGGGCTCTAAAAAAATGTATTATCTTAGGACATCTGTAGCAGCTCCAGAAAGAGGTTATTTCCCTCTCCCAGAAAGTGCAGTCTCCAGAGAGAGGCTACTTCCCTTGCCCAGATGGTGTAGTCTCCAGAAAGAGGCTATTTCCCTCTGCTATATGGCATAGTCCAAGGGGGTGATGAGGCCAGATCTGCAGCCAGTGGACCTTGAGAGCAGACTGGAGCCCTCAGGAGCCACCTGCGGGATGCAGGGATGGAATGAGACTGCTGAAAGTAGAAGCAAGACATGGCAAGAAATGGGATTGTTGGGGACTTCATTCACCTCCCCCCCAATAAAGGCTTACCTATCAATAAATCCAGTCCTATTCATGAACTTCTCAGCTCTACAGGTCAATATATTCCATTTAGTTGCATAAGCCATTTATTTAAGTTGGCTCCTCTGTCACCTGCAACTAAAATATCCCTCCCTGATATAACTGTCAGCTCCTTCATGCAGTTTGTTTTGTTCCTTTTATGTTTCTTGTATTTTGTTTCGTTTAGTGCAGCATTGACCATACTGTAGCACAGAATGATCATTAGTACCTCTGAGAGTCCTCCATTGAATTAGCTCTATAGTAGTGCACCTTAATTATAGGCTTACTAGGTACCATGTAAAATACTGTTCTGAGTATTTTACATATTGACACATTTAATCTGTGCAATAACCCTAGGATGTCAGTACTGTTATTACCCATAACTTGTAGATAAGGAAACTGACATGTTCAAGATTTACTTCCAAGCCAGTTTTGAACCAAGGCAGTCTATCTCATAAACCCATGTTGCTACAGTACACCAGAAAGACACACTACTCATGCAATTACATTTGCCCTTGTCCAAATGTTTAATTTTTGCCACCATGAGGGTAAAGTCATATTTATTATTTATTGTTCAATCTTGGGAAATTTGTTTCCTCGTCTATAAATTAATTTGAGATAGTAAAATAATACTGATTTCAAAGTGTTGTTGTGCAGTTTAAATAATAGCAGTAACTTTGACTACCTTTTCTATGCTTATCATCCATTGGGGGTTCCTCTTTTGTGAATTGCCTATTCATACCTTTTGCCTATTTTTTAAAATTGCGTTTCCCATTTTTTTCTTACTGATTTGCAGGGTTATGTGTGTGCTTGAGGATGTGTATGCATATCTGAGTGTATGTGTAGCAGTTATGAATGACATGTCAATTCTGGGTATTTATATCTCTTTCTATCATTTTGTCTATGGTGCCCTTGATTGAACAGGAATCTTTCGTTCTGAGGCAAGAAAATCCATTAATTTTGTTCCAAATATAGAGGATGAAGATACAAAAAACATTGTTTATGCCCTAAGCAACTTAAAAGTCTAGCTGGAGAATCAAGAACAACTATGTGAACAAGTTTTAATCCCGGGATAACAGTCTGCCATATAATGCCAAGTTGTAAGCTATGTAACCAACCTATAACCTTGAGAAAGTATCTGCAATTTTTTCTGAGCTCCACTTTTCTTATTTGGAAAATGGAAGCAATAAAAAATGCTTTCGAGTTTGTTGTGATCATTAAATAAGAAATGTTGAATGGCTCTCATAATACCTGGTATATATTATAGCACCAAATGCAATTTACATGCAAAGCAGATCAATGAAATAATAATGGCTACCATTTATAGTTACACTACTTGCCAAGCACTTTTTACAATGTGTCTCTATAAATTTCACAGTCTCCTGCAAGGTAGTGTCACTGCCATTTATCAGTTGCAGAAACCTAGGTTCAGAGACCTTAAGTTATTTGACAAAGATCACAAAGCTAGTAAGTGGCTGTGACAGGACTAAAAACCAGGTTGGTTTGACCTCAAACATCATGTATCTTCTACTATGCCAAGCTGTTGTCAGAAAAAGTGCTAGCAAAGCAATGAAACCTGAAAACCAAATGAACCACAGAATTTCAATAGACAGAAGGAGGAACGGAGGAAAAGAGATCATGCCAGATTCTAAGGGGGCGCAGTGCATATGCAAGATACAAAGTATTATTTGTTATTAGAGGACAGAAGCAAAGCAAAAGTCTGTATTGTGACAGATCCCTTCAACCCCAGTACAGGGACTGGGACAGAGGGTCTGATAGGGCCCATCTATTCCCCAATTCTCTCATTACCATAAGGAGTAAGTTGTTGGAGTTGTTAAGTGTGAAAAAATAACAATGCACAAGTCACTCTCCCTCCTTGGGTTTGGGGAGCAGGCGTGCCCCAGGAAGCATGTGTTTTCGCTTTTCCATGCAGTCACTTTCACACAAGCAAGTCTCTTAATTCTGCTTGTGACTGAGCAGGTATTTCAATTCTGGGCCCCTTGTCCTTGCAGATCTAAAGCCCTGGCTGCCATTCCACCTTTTGCTAGGGGCAAAGCTGACATTTTGCTCTCCATCAGTCTTACTCCCACTGCTATGGCAATGGATTCTGAACTTGCATGAGGAACACCGGTATTATTTTGAAGCCTCCTAAAACCACAACAGGAGGCACTTGACAAACCTTGGCAAAAGAGTGAATATCACAAGTTCAGAGGACAAAGAGAAGACTGGCCTGTTTTGAGCACAGAGAGTATGTTGCTGTAGTTGAAGAGAAGTTAGAAAGATGGGGTGGCCCGGGTAATGGAGAGCTGGCAAGGAAGGTAGAGTGTGTGGATTTGATGTGGGATGAAAAGGGAACTGAAATTGTCCGAGTGGAAGAAGAATAGAATGTGAGGAAGTGAAAGAAGATGGCAAGGGATGCGCTGAAGACTAGAGGGGAGAGCTTGGAGCCAGAGGGCAGTGAGAGGTGGTTTCCAGAATTTCGGAATGAGGTCTGGCCTAGGGAAGCAGAGGTGATTGCAGGTGAGAGGATGAATATGAGGATGCAAAGAGAAAACTGCCAAGCCATGGGGACAACCTTGTTCTGGGAAAAGGAGAGGTTTTGAAGGCAATCACTCTGCAAAAGGTGGGTGAGTATCCAGAGAGCAGGGGGGAGTAGGGGCTCTGCCTTGGTCATGCTAGATTTGAAGTGCCAAATGGATTTGTTTTTGCCACCAGCAACACGGGACTCAAGGCAGGGCAGAGGCCTCAATTTGGAGCATGTTAGAGTCAGCACCACCAAAGGCTACTGGAAGAAGTTGGTGGAATTGGAAGCATGAACATGGAGGCTACCTGGGATGACCGTGTGGGGACGGGGAAACCGATGAGGAGTGGGTAGAGAAGAAAAGGGGGCCCCACTCCTGGACCTTAGGGAAGCACAGGACGAGGCTGCAGGCAAACGCTAAACTCTGGGTCTTCTTAGCACAGCTGGGCAGCCGCCACCTCTCCCCGGTTGAACCCAAAGCAGCCCTCCCCACCCGGCCGGTCTTCCGGCCCTGTGCCCACTTCCCGGAGCTCTGGCTGCAGTGACACCCTCGACCTCGGGCTGTGGGGCCCCCTCTGCCTCCCCGATTCTCTTCCTTTCAGCTGTGTGGGGCGGCTCCCACTACCCAGGCCGCCGGGCGCCTGTTCCTGTCCCAGTCCCGGCCGGGGCCCCCGCGGCACCGCCCACCTGGCCACCGCTGCAGCCCGCGCCAGGGCCCGCGCCCACGGCCCGCCCGGGCTGCCGCAAGCCAACCGCCCCTCCGGGGGTGGGGTTTTCGCTCCCCTCATCCCCCTCCGTCTTTGTTGCAGCGCTCCGGGGGACGCCCCCCTCTGCCTCCGGCTCCACGTCCAGGGAGCGGAAGGGGCGCTTGGCCAGGGGCAGTGTCGAGAGAAGGGTGCGGGCGGCGCCAGGACGCACGCGGGTTCCCAGGAGCAGGGGACGCGAGGAGGGGGGAGCCGAGCCGCGGGGGCCGCTGCTGCATAAGGGGGAGGAGAATGGGGAGGAGCTGGGGGGCAGGCGATCAGAGAAGGAGGGGTCTTAAGGGGCGGCGAGCCCAGGTCCGGTTTCCTCCGAGGCTGGCGATCCGCAAAGCTCCCATCTTCGCGTAGAGCTCTCTGCGGCCGCCCTGCCCCGCGCCCTCCAGAGACCCCGACCTGACCACGGTGAGCACAGACGCGCGGCACGGAGGCCGGGCCCCGCGGGGCGGCCGGGGATGCCCTGGCGGGGGAGGGGGAGCCCAGTCTGCGGGATCCGAAGAAGTTTCCCGGGTCCGTGCGGGGCCCGGCGCCTTCAGTCTCGCTCTCTTCTCTTTTCCGCAGATGTGGAAACGCTGGCTCGCTCTCGCGCTGGTGGCTGTCGCCTGGGTCCACGCCGAGGTAGGTCCGCACTCAGGTCCCAGGGCCATCGGGTCTGCGCGCCGGGCGGGCCAGCGTGAGTCCTGGGGATGCTCTCCCGTGCTGGCTCCGGAGTTTCAGTACTTGGGTGGGGTGGGGTGGAGCTGGGGGAGCGCTGCAAGCAGAAATAGGACTTAGGAAACTTAAATCTCAGAATCAGAGAAAGTAGTTTGGGCCGTGAGCGGGAGCCCCACCGGGGTTAATATGGAGGGAGAGTGGGGAGGAGACAGAGGACGGGCTGGGCGGATGGGGACGAGGCGGCGACCGGAGCAGCAACGAGTTCAAAAAGGCGCCTTGAGTTCGTCCTCACTTCAGAGGAGACTGAGAATAGTTCGGGACTGTTCCGTTCCTACTTGGTCTCCTCGCATAGGGTCGGGAAGGGGGTGGAGGCGGGGAATGTGGAGATTCTTCTTTGGAGGCAAATAAATTTTCCTTTCTCTTTTATAAAGTGAGATCATGGTTCCCTGAAATTTATTTTCTTCTTTGGAAAGTACCCTCGGGTTTTGTGTTACTGTCTGGGCCATACGTGTAACGGCCTTTTTCTAAACTTTCCTTTAAACTGGCATTGCGCAAGTGTGAGCGGTCCATTGCTCTGCTCCTTGGGGGCTCTGCATTTCCAGTGAAAACGTTTCAGCGCCTTTTCTTTTAGGTTTTTTTTTTTTTCCCCAACTCCAGTGACCTTCCTGAGACACTACAAACAAACCAACAAACCCTTGCTCACAAGGCCTTCCATTAACTCAAAGGTTTATGGACAGAAAATAAACAATTCTAAATTCCCTGGGCTCCAGTCTCCAGAAAAGTGAGGTCAGAAACTAAACATTTGATAATTATGGCAGGAAATGTGGAAAGAATTAAAAAGCATGAGAGAGAAGAAATGGAATGCACATTACAAAAGAAACAGCTCCCTGGTGGGTGGTTTACACTGCTGCTTTGAATTTTTTCCTACATATTACAGTTTAGCCACACCCTTAGCATCACAGCTTGACTCTGCTCTCAAAAATAATAAACGCATTAGATTTTTTTTAACATACACATCATACTGAACTATCATTTAATTCACTGTTATATTGTTGCCTGAGGCGGAAACTCAATTGTTTTTACTCCCAATGAAATAAAAGTAGCTAATATTTAGTAGATATCTACTGTGTGTTATAGTAAAATTCCATTTTAGTGATAGATAAACTGAGTCAGGGAAGGTTACATAACTTATCCATATAATGCCCTCAGCTGCTGAATGCTAGGGTGGCATTTGAACCCAGGGAGTCTAGCTCCAGACCTAAGGCTTTTGATCATAGCTCATACCACTTCCAAGCACAAAAGTTTAGCATTTACCGAGTACTTTTTTGTATATCAGACATTGGGCTATGTGAATTATCTGCCCCATTTCTTTTAAAGCTTCCTAAGCCCTGTAATATTGGTCCTGTCATCCCCATTTGATAGAGGAGGAAACAGGTTTAAGGAGATTAGGTAACTTGCCCAAGGTCATACAACTATTCTGTTACGCAGAGGGATCTGAACCCAGCTCCCTCTATCTTTGGAGCCTATATCAAAGTCCAGGTCTTCTTCTCATTCATTTCGTTTTCAAGGGTTTGAATTTGAGGGAGCATCCTCCTTTCACTGCCTGATTTAGTCCTGGTTAAGGAACATTCCTCCATCCCCTACTCTGGCCTGGGCCTCCAAAGGCAGCTGCAATCTAGTGATGGATGAGGTGAATCTGGGTTTGGTTTTCCAGCAGGCTTAAGAATTGCCAGCCAGTGTGTGAAATCACTCTGTGAACTGGAATGCAAATATGAGGTGTGAGCAGGCTGTTGGTTCACTCACCAGGCTGTGTGGCCCAAGGTCTGGGATCTGTTCTAGACGGCCTGCTCGCCACACCCTCCCCCCCACTCCCCTGCATTGGGGGATGGGGAACCCCGTCTAGTCACTATAGGAAGTTCCCTCCGCAGCAGTTTCCTGCTGGAGGTAGAAGAGTATCCAGTACTCTAAAAATTCCCAGGCAAAATCTAAGGGAAAGCGGCTTGATGGAGAAGTGCTGAGGCATGAAAACAGGGAGTAGGTGGAGAAAGGAAGCCGAGGGCTCAGGGTATGTGGAAGTGGTTACAGTGAACAGCATGAGGAGTAGGTCTGAGCCAGATCACATGTCCAGACTCCAGATTATTAAGGATTATTCTCTTAATCCAACTTCTTGGTGTCTAGCACACATAACATCTGGCAAGTTTTAAAATCTATGTGTTAGTAATAACAGACCTTTAATGTTTAATACAAAAAAGTCCATATTTGGACATTATTGTAAGGATTTTATCGTGTAGTTAGTGGTGCTTGCAGTAGAGTTGTTTTCCTTGTTAACTGTAAGGACATTCAACCAACAGAGTCACATAGTGATAGTTACAGTCTTTATTGACAGGAATCTATTTTAGTAAACTTTAGATCAGCCAAAATTATACAAATATTGTTTAACTTTTTAGAAATTAAATTTAGAAAATAGCAGGAGATCTCTTGGTGCTTTTTGCTCTAATAAAAGCATAAGTATTTAATTCGGCATATGTTTTTAATAATGTAATTGCCTTACCAATCATGTTGATACTCGAAGAAGCCGGAATCAGAGGCATTCTTCAAAAAAGTAGCTGTCACCCTTGTTAATGCTGGTCTATGTAAATCCCATTAGGTTAGGTTCATGAAACTATCAAAACTCATTAAGGAAAATGTTACATTGGTTTTTTTTTTATTGTTGGGGATTCAGTGAGGGTACACAGAACCAGGTTACACTGATTGCTTATGTTAGATAAGGACCCTCTTATATTTGTGTCCCACTCTCAAAAGGTGTACCACACCTCTTGACGCCCCCCCACCTCCTCCCTCCTCCCCTTTCTCAACTCTCCTCATCCCCCAGCCCACACTGTGTACTAGGACCTTAATTGTCCTCATATCAGGATTGAGTACATAGGATTCTTATTTCTCCATTGTGATGCTTTACTAAGAATAATGTGTTCCACATCCATCCAGGTTAATACAAAGGACGTAAAGGCTCCATCTTTTTTAGTGGCTGAATAGTATTCCATGGTATACATATACCACAGCTTGTTAATCCATTCCTGGGTTGATGGGCATTTATGCTCTTTCCACATTTTGGCGATTGTAAATTGAGCTGCAATAAA